TTTAAGTTCATACTTTCGTTCCTGAACAGCTGCAGGTGCAACATCATGGAGTTGTATGGATGCTCTTGAATATCACGTCGACTTTTGAAATTCAGCGTAGGTAGAAAACATGAAACTTGAGCATGATAAATAAAAAAGGAAAAACTGCTTGCTTTGAAAATTTCAAGAAGTAAGCGATACTCCGCGCATTTGCCACCAAGGCGGTATATTGGGTCTTGGAGCGATGATTTCCCACAGAATCGTTCTTTATGTCAGTACCAGTCTGAAATAAAAGAAAAACAGAGGCAGACGAAAACCAAACTCGAAATACAGGGTGATACTATGCCCACCGTGCTTTGGTCTCTGAAGCGGCAACCAGCGCACAAGCGACAAAGGCTGCAAAAGCTACAGCCGGTACGGTTTGATTGCCTAAAGATGTTTCAATACGCACGAATTCGTTCTTGGTGATTGATTAGAGCAATTTAAACCTGCAAAGCACACGATTTCGCAAAGAAAGAGGCGGGGCTTTTTCAACAATCTTGTAACAAGTCACTATAGAGGTTTTGCTACTTCCGCCGTTTCATCACATTTCGTAGAGAGGTTCTCGACGCGTTTATAGGAAGGTTGTGCAGTTCCTGTTGCAGATTTTTTTTCACAAAATTTTGTTGACTGAGGCTCATGTAGTAGCAGTGGGTGGTAAAATCGCACATGATTTTTATACAATTACATAATACACTGTTTGTAGTTTGTATTCGTTGTCATGGTCGTAGGCAGTCAATGTCGTTGATTGCCCAGATATCGTTGGAAATCAAGAATATACAGAAGTTTTAGTAGTTCTGTTCCACCGAGCGTAATTTGCTCTATTCGGTGCTTTGAATAAACAATCCTTCTGACGAAGTCTCAGTTTTTTTTGGAACATGAATTTTTATTCTAGCTCATCATCAAACTGCTCATAATAATAATTCATGCCATCATCGTAGTATATTACATCATTATAAGAATCACACTCAAACGATCGTCGTCTGATTTGAACCATGTTTCGCTCACTTCCTTGTCCCATTTGATGTACGCCTCCATAGCTTTGTCATAATCAATCGTTTGCATCATTCTCGCTCTTCCATGGCTTTTCGCCACCCTTCCAAAGCTGCTTCAATTTCACGGATGGGTTGTACTTTTTCCAGATACCAAATACGGGCAAGGCTTCGTTAAAAAAGATCATCTCAAAAAATTGCATAAATAAGGCACACCATACTTACACTCAGCGAAAGTGGTCTCATCTGCGTGCGGTTCGATTTCGTTTTGGCTACTTTGTACTCTCCAATTATCAGAGTGTCCCATGATAATTTATCATTTTTACCCTAAACATCAGCATTTTTCGAGAACTAAGGCACCTACAAAGGGCACAAATACATGATCGTACTTCTGTATGTATGAGCTATATGATCATATGTGTGGGAGAGAACGTCTAGGGGCGGAGTTTGCCATTTTACTCCATTAAATTTTTTTTATTTCTAACAATGAAAAAAACGGAAAGTATGTAGTCGAACGTGCGATGTGTCAAGTAAATGCTAGGATAAATGGGGGAATTTTTGAGTTTTCTTGGGGTATGGATACGATTTTTTTCCCGGAAATTCCGTTTATTTTAACTGCTTTCAGATTTGATCTCAGAACTTTACGTGAAATAAGATTTGGCCAGACTGTTGATAGCAGTCTTGTAGAGCTTACTTTGTGCTGTCAAATGATTACGCAAGTTACATTTGAAGGAAGGATACAAAAGGCGACGGCTGTAACAAAAACGGTAAATAATTATGGGACAACCTTATAGATTAGCGGCGAGAAGCTTAAGCTCTTGAATTATGTTGAAACAAAATACTCTGCCCTGGCTGTCTAGGGTACAGCTCATTGACAAAGGTGTAATTCGAACCGCGCAGTGCGAGTAGAGTTGAATTTTTCGAACTAGCAATTGGAACGCTATTTTTGCTAATTTCGAACACTCATTTTCTCAAAGAACTAACAAGGGGAGGAAGGTCGGTCGAAGTGGCCTTTTGAGATGTGATGTACAGTGGCTTGTAGAGCTTGGAACGCTGACTCCAATTCCACCTTTGTTATCTGCTGCGGGCTTCTGGGCGAGGAGTTATGAAGGTTTTTGTGAGTGAAAATTTCAATGCAAAATTACTATAAAATCAGTCGTAACCTTTTCCTAACGTTCAAATGAGGCAGCAGCGAGTCGGTATATTTTGAACAAAAATATTTTTTGCACTGAGTGACCCGATTACCAGTTAAGCCCTAGAAAAAAATGTTACGACTGATTTTACACTAGTCTTGCAATCAACTTTTTACTCACAAAAACCTTCATAACTCGTCGCCCAGAAGCCCGCAGCAGATAGCGAAGGCAGATTTGGAAATAGTGCTCTAAACTCTACAAGACAGTATGCATACCTTTTCAAAAGGCCACTTCGACCAACCTTCCTTTCCTTGTAAATTTTCGTTTGCTCATCGCTTTCATCAAGTTCTAGATAGTCGAGCGAATAATCAGTATAAAATAAGACTTGTTCTGAGCCAGCAAGCACTCACATAACTGCTCTACAGATTATGCAGTTCCCCTCTTACATTGAATAGGATGTACATTTTGTTTGCGAAAAGAGTTTGCGCTTTAGCTTTTGCACTTTAATCACTGAGCCTGTGTAACTTACGTGTACTCTGGAATTGATTAAGCTCCCTTTTACTAATTTTGAAAAACATTTCATTAGTTTTAGGCGATGTTCAGAGAGAACGAATTCTCTCGTGCTAATTTTGGTCTAACGCAGAACAGTTAGTGCGGCAAACCTTTCAATCATTTGCGAAAAGACTACCTGTAGTTCCTACCTGAACCATAATTTGCAATGTTTCGGTCTTTATAATGATTCCAATGAATTGTATGCATTCGCAATCGTTCAGTGGATGTGTTTTAGAATGACATAATTCGAAATCAGTATAGATTTCATCTAGAACTCTCGATTTACAAGTTTTTAGGCTATACTAGGAAGTTAGCATAAAACAGAAATATGAGATAAAACAACTGGCGCCAAATCAATCCCTATGCGGATTTGAATATGAGGTCAGGTCAGAACGGCATATATAAGTAGAGCGGAGGCATAGTCTTGCATACACGGCGGTCTTCCGACTTCCGTTTTTGCTTCTGGCTAAGGTTAGTGCTGCTCTTGTTTCTATGACTAGGTTTTCATTGGCTTTTCTCGAATAGTACTTTGAGTCTTCTGTTGATGTCTGAGGGATTAGATGCTGATGACTTCGACTTCCAGGCTCTGACGAAGGCGACAGCGCCGAAACGTAGACCATACCATAGTAAATAGTGTTACCATCTTGGTCGACCGCTCAATCACACATCCATCAAGAAATATGAGAGTTTGTTACAAAGTGTGTCAGTTCGGGACGACTCGGCGAAAAATCGTTTCTTGCAGTCTTTTTAAGCTTACACATATTGACCAATCATAAGCGTCATACAGTATTATAGCAAAAAGTGGACGTATAAGCGAATCGTAGAAGAGGAGCTTTGCTAACAGTAACTAGACGATGAGCGGCCTTTGCTTGAATTAGTATTGTTATATACAGGAACTCTTAACCTACAAAATGAATTTCTGATAGTCATCAATTACTGCAAAAATTGTTGATTAAATCGTTGTTCGTTATTTTGCACCATTCTACTTTCAATATTGTAGACGTGGTATCAGAGTGAGCTTCCTTAAATCTGCAGAGTTAATCACGGTTTGGCCAACCTGCCTTGGTCTTATCCTTTGATTTTGAATCTTAGCTGAAATGGAAAAGTGTGAGAATAATTACTGCGGTGTCTAATTAGTCCTTGTACATCTGCTCACTTCTTGTTGCCTCAAGTAAATGTAGTAGTTTCCATGTAATCTATAACCATTTTCCTGATTGACAATGCGCTAGCATCTGTCTGTGCTAACTGTTAAATGAAGAACAAAAGTTCAATTTTAGATGTTATAATTTCTATAGCTAGGTGTAGGTTTGATCAGAGTGCGTTCAAAGCTGTGTGAATGTTTGATAGTAACTCGAGTTCATGCCTTAAATTCTATTTTCAATGAATATTCCTCCCCCCCCCCCCCAGTTCAGATCCAGGAATCAAACTTGGGGTTTACAGAACACTGTGGCTCTTTTTGCAACGTTTTTGGTGGAAAAGTGCAGCAATGAGGTGATTTTTTGCACTAAGTAACCATTTTTCATAAATTTCTTGCTTATACGTTACCATAAAAGTTTTAGATCCTGCCCAAGCGGATGGAATTTCGCTGTGTAAGGAACTTTTACACACTTTTTTGAGATAGCTAAGCCCTCCGCGATTTTGTAGCGTCAAACTCAGAATCACAAAATTTGAGACGTTATGTTTAGAAACTTTGTTCTTGGCTGACCCATAGAATGCTATGCATAGACAGTCATTATAAACTGCAAACCTTCTACTATCTTGTGGGTGTCGAAAAGTGAATTCAGGTCTAGTATGTAAGGTTATTGTTTTTCGTTGAATTGCGCAAAAGCTTTCGCTCCAACCCAATACCCTGACAGGTTTTAAGCTGTGAGAAGTATATCGTACATCGGATATCCGTGTTCAAGGCACTGCGCAGGCAATTAGTACACAACCTGTACGTGACATTAGTACAGTCTTGTTCTAGCATATATAACAGATAGGGAATATGTGTTCGATGTGCTACCGAAATGAGCATTTCTAGTCTGTAACAATCAAACATGTTTGCAGATCATATAAAAAACAAGTGATCACATTTGTTTCATGAGGTTAGATGGGCGTCAACTAAAAGGCATTTGTATGTATCCTATCCGATCGCACAAGAAAGCCTTGTGATCCTTTACTAACTTGACATATATCGAAAGTTTCAGGTCCCGTTGTAGAGTATTCTGAAGAAACAATCATACACTAGATGTTTATCGTATTAGTCGCCAGCTAAAAATTTGAGGCAGGGAACAAACGTGAATAAAAAACAAAGGAGCAAACGCTTCTTCCACTTCATCTGTATGCACAGCACATCTATAGTGTTTCATAAAACGTGAGAGGTGCTCTGCAATAGAATCATATATCAAGTCATTTCTTTCATGAGATCGAATAGCCATCAACTAGCATGCAAGTGTTCGTATCCGTATCTATCCGTACTGCGAGAAAGCCTTGAGGTCCTCTGACGACTGAAGTGGGCGCATCTTCAAAATTCCACGTCCCTTGGTAGGATGCCCTGAAAGAACGGTAAGCAGATACTGAACATTCGTTGTATTAATTATTAACTGGAACATTTAAGTCATGAGACAGTCAAGAAATAACAAAGGAGCAAACGCTCTTTTCACTTCAATTGGAGGGACAGCATATCAGTAATTTATGGAATGTAAAGGTGTTTTGCAGTAAAATGAAGGAGGAAGCCAACTCAAAGACAAACTTTTTGCACATAATAGATTTCATTGTCTGCCAGATACCTTCAATAACCTGCACTCCATTCTGTACCACTTCATCGCTTATTTATGCATACACTTTCGTAGACAAAATCGACTCAATTTTCAAGTTTTGCATTCATATGCTGACAACTGGCAATTCCTTGCAATGAGGAACGGCTCTGTTACCTCTTCCAGTTACCGTTCAGTATGCCTAGCATGAATTGTACAAGCTCTCTAAAAATAATCATATACGAGATTCAATACCCAGGCCAAGGATAGGCAAAATTGCGACCATAGGTAAAAACTGCAAATTATGATGATATGAAGGCTTTCAATATGTGAGTAGGGACTAAGAATATATAGGTGTATTTAACTATTGAAACATGCGGCTGAAGGCAAGTTGTGAAACAATCTAGCTGAGAAGATTTTTTAAAATTTCTTTTAAACTCTCTCTCCGCGAAACTGACACGCAAATTTTTTGGATGTTGTCTACATGAGCTATATAAGGTATAAGCTATAAGGTTCAAATATGATCTTTTTACTTGTATAGAATAGTTCTTAAATCTTTCAAAAATCGTCAGCATTTTTTCTTCAAAATTTGGCGGTTATAGCAAGTGGTGTGGCTAGCGCAACACCCTCAATCGAATAAACCTCCGCAATAATTTACTTCAGCCTGTTGCATAATAGAAAGTTATAACAAGACTAATTTTTTGCGAACTTTGGAAAACTGCATTTGTTTTATCAATTCATATTAATTTACTACATATAAATTCATCACATGTGCAATTTTGGCTATTTTGTAGACGATTAATACTACAGCGCTGATCTCAAATGTCTCAGCAGATTTTTGTAGTTACTCGGTTATGAATTATTACCTGATACAGCAGAGAACTCTGGAAAACCTTCATATGCTGTTTATCAACACGTTTTCTGCTTGCGACACTCGAGCCAACGCACTGCCGAACAGGGCTGTTGCACATATTCTGGCTATTGTGTTCATCTAGGCACTCCATCGATTAAGGATTACCTTGTTGGTGAAAGTCATCACTGATAGGTACAAAGCAAGCTTGAGATTTTTGAAAAGCTTTAGGGATTTTACAGATTTGTTAGGTTGTCCGGAAATTAATGCAGGTTTTGAATTCCAACCGCAATAAGTCATACATTTCTCATTCTTAGATAGGCTGCAAGGTACTGTTCGATAGAGCAAAGCAAGCTCTACAAGATGGCTGTCTTGCTTTAGCAACAGCTCTGATCCACCACAAGTTTCGAGCCAAAAACTAGAAAGATTCAACTGCCCGAAAAATTGAGCAAAAATCGTAACTCAGTTCATAAAAATCCTACAAAAGTTCTAACTTGCTCACTAGACACAGTCCACATAAGGCATCTATATACGCCGTTGCCGTATTTTTCTCCGTGTTGAAAATCAAGAGAACGGAAATTTTCGTGCATTTGCTAAAGTGTTGCTGTGCCGTTCCTACACAAGTATTTGTATACTACAAACCTTTAGAAGTACAAAAACGTAAATTTTCAGCTGTCTACGAGCTTTAGTTCTCGAGAAATATAGAATACAGTTTTCCCTAGTTGGTCCAAGCTGAAATTCAAATTTTTCGAGAACTATAGCTTGTGGAGAGCTGGAAATTTACGTATGTACTTCTAAAGGTTTGTAGCATACAACTACTTATGTGAAAACGGCACAGCACCACTTTAGCAAATGCACGAAAATTTCCATTTTCTTGATGTCTAACAGAGAAAAAAATACGGCAGCGGCGTATATAGATGCCCTTTGTAGATTGTGCTTACGTGAGCGAGTTAGTATTTTTTAGATTTTTTATGAACTGAGTTACGATTTTTCGCAATTTTTCGGGCAGTTGAATATTTTTAGTTTTTGGCTCGAAACTCGTAGTGGATCAGAGTTGTTGCTAAAAAGAGATCAACACCTTGTACAGCTTGCTTTGTTCTATCGAATGGTACTTTGCAACCTATTTAGAAATGAGAAGATTCTGACTTATTGCGGTTGGAATTCAAAACGGACTTTAATTTCCGGACAACCTAATGTATCACCGTTATACGCCAAATTAACATATTTGTTTCCCGGTAAGACCAGAGGAGTATCTAACTTCTATTACTTCTGAGCATTTGGGTAACAACTACGGCGTCGCAGCATTTCGCACCTCCAGCTGGGCATTTGGCAGGATTTTCCTCAGTAAAGTGAATACTTGAAATGATAACTTGCAATCTGGGAAAATCTAACCTCAGTGTTTCTGAGATCCACGAAAGACTCAGAAAGCAGTAAAATGTGAATTACGACGGTTATCAAAGCATTATGCACCTCTTTTCATCGTTAGGGTTTGTAGAAGTCAAAGGCTCACAATTTTACATAGTCCTTCCAAAGCATAGTCGCAGTCGAATCGACATTTTGCAGAATGATTTCTAAGTCCAAAGTTTGCAACTCGTGCAGCTGTATGGAACTGATCTTGCGTTTTCCTTCCAGCCATTCCTTAACGGTAAAACTTCAATTGTATAAAAGCATTTTTTGAAAGGAAAACCTTAAGCTATTTGGATGAGGCAAATGTCGCGATTTGCTCACGTTCCTCTAATATAACCTCCTTACCAATACAAGCTTATTGATGACTTCAGATGTTATGTCAGGTGCACTGATGGAAATCTCTTCTGCTGCAAGGCGAACAAGCTGATTGTCTGTCATCGCTACCTTCTGGTCAATTGAGATTTTTTGGGCGCATCGAACCTAAAGCGAATAAATATATAAGGCCAGTTGTTTCTCACACGGTTATCCTACAATTTCATGGTCAAACAATTCAGAACCACGAAAGAGTTCCGTTGTTCCACTTCCCATGACGACTGACACTCCGCATCCAGGTTTCAAAAATCTCAGAAATTCAGCGATGATCAAGGGTTCGTTGTTAGTACACATCGTAAAATTTTCCCTAGCTATTTTCTGCGAAGACGATTGCTCTGCTAGAACAGCCTGTAAGTCCGCATTTGGTGAACGCTGAAAGGATCACTTTGTCTTGTCAGTAAATTCATATTCATATGGAACCCAACTATTGAAATGGTCGTTGCTTGAATATCCAAAACTCTGGAAAGCCAGAATATAGCTTTCGTTGCTGCAGTAATGGTGTTTGAGCTGTATTTTATACCTGGTCGCTTGCAAAACTTTCCTTTTTTAGACATTAGTCTAAAACGATATTGGTGAATCTGAGATAGCGCAAAAACGTATTTCAAACCTCTGCACACAGCATCCTTCCTCATTGTCTTTTACAAATATCAGTGGATAATCATGTACAAATTTCAGACTTGCTCCAGGATCGCGCCAATATATGTGTAACTTCACACCATCGTGATTTTTTGCGAGTTTACGCTAAAAAGGTCTGCTATCTTTGCCTCTTAGATAAAAAGTTCTAAGCTAGTCTCAAAACAGCTATTTGCATATGTATAAAATTAGGATTTACGGATTAGTACCTGATTCTTGGAAGCTGAGTACGCCACATCTTCAAGATGCAGGTCGACCTTCGGTTTTATCTTGCGTACCAAGTCGTAGCATTCCTTATTCAGAAACATGATGCGTCTCAGTGTTGGAAATGTGAGGTATTTCAAGATGTAAAGCTTGACATCGACGGGAAAGTCACCCCATCGATGGAACTCGAGCAGGAGATCATCAAAAAGGTCGTACACGACATCAAACATGAGACCCGTACCTTCTGCCATAACTGCAAAATAAATTTAAGATTTCTGTCTTGGGGTATGATTGATGTAAATCTCCGTTTTTATGAGAAGTTTATGTATAAGAAGAATGCTCGCTGTGCTTTTGCTTATGCTTTTGCTTTCAATCTGTGATGTAAAGGAAGACGCGTTTTAAATTATGTTGACTTCTCGGCTTTTGAGCATGAGTTACTTACTACAATATCATCTTTCATTCAAAAAAGGCAAGGCTAATCAATACTTCAAGCGTGTCATTGAAATTCACGACAATGATGTTTGGTCGCACTTGGAGACAGCGGATGCAGGATAAACCCAAACAGCCCATTTTACAACTGCTGCACAGGCTTTCAATTCTATGTACAAAGGCTCCCAAAAAGCGTGGATACTATTTGATTGTTAATAACTCTCTTGTCATGAGATATCTTCAGAAGCTTTAAGCAAAGTTAGATTTGAGTGTAGAGAAAATTGTCGCTCTTCATTTGTTTGGATTTACTGTAGGAACTTTTCAAACGTTTTCGTGCCATGGAGGGTCACATTTTGGCTCAGAAAAGAAACAAACGACTTAGAAAGCCTCACACTAGGCTAATGGGGGTTGCGGATTCTATATATGAGGTTTGCATCTTATTAAGATGCTTTCCTGGATAATTACGCCAGGTAAGCAATAGCAGCCGTTTCACCGACGTTGCTTGAAAAAATGTGATTACAGTGTCTAAAAGCTTTACAATCTTCACAAAGTTGAGTATTAAACTCCGCATCCATGAAAAACCTATTACATAATTTTGGATTTTTTCGAAATTACTTGAAATGGCAGCTTTTCGCAGTGACGCCATATGGCGGAAGTTTCTACCGTAGCTTCGCAGAATGAAGAGCGATCGATGAGACGTTTTATACTGAAAATCTAAGTTGAAGTCAGCTTTACGAATGGTACCTAAAGCTTTTCGGAAGAGTTCTTGACAAGAGAGTGTGACAACCAACGTTTCTGGGACACCCTGTCTATCGCCGATTCGTTAACCGCACGGAGTGTTCAAACGTTAAGGATCACGGGCGACGCGGCTGAAACGTGTAGAGAGAGCACGACTTGTACAACGGCAAGTTTGTACTTGAGCAAGCGTTTTACCTCGCGGCGCGGACTCCGCAGTGATGTCAAGTCCGTGCGTCAACAAATCGACGATATGCCCTCTATACCAAACACTGTCAGGAAAGGCTTTTGATTTCGGATATTTTATGTTCTTTCCTGTTTGATGCTTACATAGAAAATTGAGGCAATTGGACGTAGAGACTTGAAGAAGCAGATAGACATGGCGCAAAGGAAAAAATTTTTGGCGGCGCTATTCCACATTAGTTGACCCAAAATTGAAAATAGTGAGTTCCCTAAAACTTCGTCTAGGGAGATTTTTTGGTACGCTGAACACGAATATGATGTTTATTTCGTGCGACAGCGTCATCTGGTTGAGTGACGGTAGGATGACGGTAGGGGTCGAAATCACGGATTTGCCCGAAACTTCGTCTAGAGGGGTTACTCGGCCCGCTGATGCTGAATATCACATTAGTTTTGTACCGTAGCGTCATTTTCTCAGGTTACGGTGGGTATACGGTAGGGGGTCAAAATCTCAGAATAAGCTGTAACTTCGCACTTAGGGCTTACTCGACATGCTGATTAGAAATGTCACACTTTCTCCGCACGAAAACGTCTACGCATGGTCACGGTAGGTTTACGGTAGGGGTCAAAATCACAAATCGGCAAATGTATCTTTTCCCTGTGCTTTGCTTAAGCAAAAGCCGCAGCAGGGTGTGTAGCGCGCGGCGGTGGTCGTTTGTGCAAAGCTTCACGATCGTCCGAATCGCCGTACCTCGCTTCAGGCAGAACTATGTTTTACACCCGTTACTGTGTCGCTACCGTAACCCGAATGACGCTACGGTTCAAAACCAATGTGATATTGGCATCAGCGGGCCGAATAACCCCTCTGGTGCCAAGTTTAGGGCAAATTCGTGATTTTGACCCTTTACTGTAGTCCTACCGTACTCCACCGGATGGCGCTGTCGCATGAAATAAACATCATATTCGTGTTCAGCATGCCAAATAATCCCTCTATACCAAGTTTCGGACAAGTTCGTGATTTTGACCCGCTACCGTAATCCTACCGTAACTCCACTGGATGGCGCTGTCGCACGAAATAAACATCATATTCGTGTTCAGCATACCAACCCCCCACCCCCTTAGACAAAGTTTTAACGAAATTCACGATTTTCATTTTTTGGGTCAACTAATGCGGAATAGTGCCAATTTCGTTATGGTGCGCTGCGCTCCTTGAGCAATAGAAGACAAACTCATTTCTTGTAGTGACGCGATATATGAACTTACTGCAGAATTGAAAAGTAGCAGGCTACAAAGCTCATACGGAATTAATGTGTAAACGCAAAAATGCAAAAAAAAAGGCAGATGGAGAATAAAGTCCCGATGAAATTTGAGGATTTCAACTTCTGAAAATCGTTGAAGATACAATGATCTTATTTGTTGCGACAGCATATATAAAGTCATTGTTTTCAGCCTTTATTGCACAACTATATATTAGCATTACGCAACCCTCATGTCTTGGATTGTGTTTGCACGAAAGAAGAACTGACGGACGTGCAATGTAGCATACGTATTGTGCAAGTACAGAATCAATCAATGCGCCCGTGATTCGTCATGACTGCTGCCTACCGCGAAATGACTCACATAATAGCAGGTAGATTATAAGCAGCAGAGAAAGTTTTGTGCATGATCAGACCGCTGATTTCATTCATAACTTGCATACGGGCCCATAGCGCTTTCTCAGGATAGAGACCTTTTCTTGTGCATCCATCTGCGCAGCACTTCTGCACACCGACACAATCCACATCAGGTGAACATCGATGGACGAGACTAAAGATAAGGAGACGTTAACTCTTATAGCCAAATGAGCTTATGTCCAACTTGAAGAAGCTTACGGTTGTCCGCTGCACTGCCTGTGATTTAAATAGGGGCAAACGCCGGGTTTCACCTCAGGCTTCTTTTCTTCTGCCTCTCCTACTATTGATAATGGAGATGCCTCTGAAAATGAAGCTTGTGAAAATGAGTTTAATAGAGTGCTATGCAATAGATACGATAAAACGCTCCAAATATGACCAGAAAGCTCAGAAAAGCGCTGAAAACACTAATCTTCTCAGACTTCTAGGAGACTGCGCAAACTTCTTGCGCTATAAGCACTCTCCCCCTTGAAAATATTAGGTTACAACATAAGTCGTGTACCAAAATTTTTTTGAAGATCCGCAAAAGCCTCCTCATTCAGTCCGTTCGATGTACAATACCGCTCACGAAACGAACACAAAGTCCGTGAAGTCGCGAAATTTCGAGAAATCTCGGGAATTTTGCACGCCTTGCGAGCGGTATTGTATTAGAAGATATGTGGCGGCTTTATAAGGCAGTAAAAATTTAGTTGGAAGATGAGCCTTGCACGAAAATTCTTTGAAAAATTATTCAGAAATGCTTAGGCAACATTTCAATCTCTGAAATTTCATCTTTGATTTCGATCGGTAAAAATGCTGGAAGATCCAGCAGCCTCCAGTTTGACTTTTGGTTCACGTTTCATGACCTACACTTTTTCTGAAATGAGTTGGCGCTAACTGCATCTCCCTGCGAAAATTTATAATTTTCAAATTTCTCTTTCCGGTTTTTTTTGTTCGGATTAGAATTTCTAGTATGCATGAAAACACTACATATTTCACAGATTGAAATGGTTGCCTAAGCATTTTCAGACTAATTTTACATACCGCATCCATCGTAGCAATATTTCTGGCTACTTGAACAATCGTCATCAGCTCGACAATCAAATTTGCAAATATCTGGTCCATCTTCATGAACAGCTCGACTAGGATCTGGACAGCAAGTTCCCATTGAAGAGATGCCGGCCTTAAACCACGCTTTACTGAGAGGATCTCCAGAAAAATACGAAGATATTACTTGGTGGCATCAGAAGTGTGATGGACAATGGTTTTTAGAGCTGTATGTTTCAACTACTCCTACAACAGAGATGGATGGCTCTCCACGGGGCACAGGTTGACAACACCTAAATTTGTAGCTTAAGGATGGTGGATAGAAGAAATACAGCTTTTTCTCAGACAGTCGACGGCATACCTCCGGAGCAGAAATGGCCGAGCCGCGGGGTTTACCCAGCTGGGGATTGCCACTCGTGCCCCGAAGCCCTCCCATTTGTGCTTCGGAGACCTCCCATTTGTGCTCCGGAGCCCTGCCATTTTCTGCTCCGGAGGTGTCTCAAATCTAGCGCACTCGCGGCGGGCAGATCTCTCCGCCGCGGCTCTCCCAAATCTGGCGTACCTCCGGAGCAAAGATGGCGTACCTCCGGAGCAGATCCGGAGAAGGGCACTCGCCTGCCGGTGACGTCACCTACAAGAAGGGACCGCCCCCTCGCCCAGCTCTCAATGGTCAATTGGGTCCGCCGCGGCTCTGCTAGATTTCGACTGTCCGCCGCGACTACGGCACCAACTGTCTGAGTTGAAGGTTCGGAGAACTGTCATATGAAATACTATCAGCTCTTTTCAGGTCCCCTTCTATAAACTCTGTTAGAAATAGAGTTTTTCTTGCAAATCGTCGCAAGCGATCACATCTTGGTTGAGGAGGACAAATCTCTGTTTCAGAACAGCTCACAGCTGTCATGATGCAGAAACTGCCTTGGGGACATTTTATCTGGAAATTCTTCCAGGATGAAACCCGGTTTAGTTGAAGACCAACCTCTGCGCAGGGGTTCCTACACTGACACAATGGGCATTCGTTCACTTCCTTTCCTAAGTCGTAAGGGCAGGATGTACGGCAATTCATCGGAGAAGCTCAACTCTGAAGGGTGCTCATTGTAGATTTACACTGAGAAATATGAAATGCCTCACTTTCACTTAGGGGCGTCATTGACTCACAAAAGTCAGTAAAGATTCACAAGTTCGGAGCACACGGTTATCAGTTATCAAGACCGCCCTCTTCCTCTCCCAGTATTTCTTACAAAAGCAATGAATGGTAGAAATTCTGAGAAAAACCTTGAATTGCTAACTTACAAGAATGAGCTGTTCGCACCAATACATAAACGATGATATTCTAGAGTTTAGAAGGTGGCATAACCAGAATTTATTACTTCATTGGTGTCCAATTTTATTGAGGAACAACCCAAGGATTCTAAATGCAGTTTAATTTACGCGCTTCCCTATGTCGAAGGTGAAGGGTTCTAAAAATCCGAAAATCCGGATGCATATGGAATCTACGGTATTATTTTAGATTTGACGCTGTGCTTTTGATTTTCTGTAATTTTTTCCGTTATCATTCTGTTTGTCGATTGCTTATTGAATATTTCATCACTTCAACCAATACACATGAGGCTTCATGAGCTACTAATATTAGGTGTCCCGAAAGTTTTGTCCGTTTTTTCATCGCTTACTGAAACTCACAGAACACCAATCCATAGACGAATTAGGAACTATATGATTTAGATTTTTATCCTCTTTCTAATAGCTACATTTGCTCTTTGATCTACTCTGTCTTGCAATGCTATTGTCATGGCTTTTTGAGCACCTCAGCAGTAACGCCAAAACGCCAAAAATTTTAGCCTGTTGTTTTCAAAGAACGATGGTAACTGTTATGTAGAGCAATTTAGCTACATTGTACTCATTTTAGATTACATGGAACAAGTTTGCAAGTTCGTTATAATTATTTATGTAAAAACCGAGGGTTCTTGATTACGTTTACCACGTAAAAGTAACGAAGATCCCCAAAAGCTGCTTTTTCAAAGCAAATCAAACTTGGTTATGTTGCATAAATAATGTTTAATAAGAATCATGTTTCAGTTCGCAGAAACTTCAAAAGCTTTCTTATATTTGCTGCAGTTGCAAACCTTCTCAAAACTTTAGAATGAAATTTCTAAAAAATTAGCATAACTTGGAGCAGAAAAAATTGACGGGTGGAGAATTTTGGCGATTACAACAGAAGTATACAAGATTTTGGTTCGAAAGTACATCCATGAGAAAGGAAAGGAAAAGCTGCATCGAATGGATGTTAGAACTCATCCAGGTCTTTATTGCGCGTGGCTCTATAGTGGTTTGAAAAAACGGACAAAACTTTCGAGACAACCTAATATTAGGATGGGTGGAAACGAGAGCTAGAATATTCTACCTGAATGGTCATATTTTCCCTTATGATTACCTCGTTTCAACTTCCGTGTTTCGTAAATTTCGGCTGTAAGGGCTTCATGAAAACAAGCTGAAAAAAGGGCTGTAGCTCAACAGAGAGGAATGCAAAACCATAAATATAAATGAGAAAATCTTTTAAAAAATTCGCGAGTTGTCCCTACAGGATAAAAACACTGTGTGGAGCGTCCAACACGACAACATCCTTTCATTTCAGGACACTCATCATCAGATTCACAAAGTGAAGGGCAATTTGTGATTTTCTCGATGAGAGATTTTTGCATAGATGATCGGCAGTCATAGTCAAGGAAGACCTGTTTCCTCGTAGACAGCATACCTAAGATATGTTCGGCCACTCTAGCAACTCTTATAAATGTTGCAGATAAACTTTTGTTCGATATCTGGCATCGGGAAAGAGCACTTCAATGAGAGTTGTGGAATTTTGCTTATTACTTTGTCTTATAGGAACACGACACTAATTTTTATTCCGATCTTTCCCGATAATTAATAATAGTGAATGATTGAAATTTGATACTAATAGCTCCAAACTACTTTCCCACAAAAAGTCATGGATGAAAAATAGAGGGAAATTTTTTCTTAAAGATTTTTATGCTCAAATGGCAATTTTCTAGCCAGTTAATAATATCTTTATGATTCATGATTCACTTCGCGACCCAAATTCTTTTTTTGCAGTATTTTCGTTGTGTCTTGCAACAAACTTTATTTTCGCAAACATAGGCATAGAATTCTGGTGTTAAGCAGACCAGCCGCAGTACGCATACTAATTGAGTGTTTTCCATCGTAATCTTTTCCTATGCGAGCCTTTTGAAAATGTTTCCTCGTCGCTCATAATCCACCTGCGCCTTTTGTAAAAAATGCAGAAACAGGAAGGGACGTACCTGTATTATAGAGGGCAACATCTTCCGGTAGGATTTTTTTTGTGATGCAGTGGAATTGAGCAAAATTTGGCAATTCTATCGGGTAACAGGTAAATCCAAAGCAGCATTTGCCTTTAAAAAATGAAATTTGAAAATTCAAAATTTGAAGCTGTAACTTTCTGGATTACCGTTTGCACAATCAAGGTCTGTTCTGCATGTAGATGAACATCTTGCTTCCTTCAAAGGCATAACAGCTGAGCACTCGGCTCGTTTTGAAATTTTAGGCCCTCCACAACAAAATCCAAGCCCTCCATAGCCAACCTAAAATAAACTCAATCTTTTCCACACAACTAACTTTTGGCTTTGACGCAGAGAGCTGAGATTTTCGACGCTATTGGGTGAATCCCCGGATCCATGGTCATGGTCGTGGATATAATTCGAGTGGCGAACACTGTGATGCGCGCCTTCTCTACTCCAGGACCGGACTGTGCCCTCTCTCATTGCTGCGCTAGCCGTAATTACGGATAAAATTGGTTCTGTCGCATGCGAAACATGTAGTAACAACAGAAAACTTTTCTTGTGTTCTTCTTAGCGTGATAGATATAGTGATGGATCCATTTGTCTCGTTTTCTTCCGCCCGAATGGAGGGAACGAGAATCAATAGCCGAGGAAGAGGAGGAGGAGAATCTCAAGCTGTTTATGTAGAAAAGAATCGATCTATTTTTTTATATGAGTTCTTGGTTTATTTCTAACCCATTCTGCATAAATAATGCTTGAATTTTTACAATTACCCTCAAATCTTACAGATAAATCCGCTTTTTTTACAAGAAAAAACGCTGAACACTCTCGCACCGCCTAGAATCTTGCAAATAAGTCCTTTCATTGGATAAGTCCGCCTACAGATAAGTCCGGACTTATCTGAAAACGGACTTACTGAAGGGCCTTATTCGAGTCAAAAAAGCGGTATCTGAAGGCGGACTCATCTGTAAGCGGACTTATCCAATGAGAGGATTGATCTGTGAGATTTTAGGGTAATAAATTCTAAAGATAATTTGAAGGGATACAGTTTTGCTTCCAATCAGCAGGGATTTTACGAAAAGCTGACGAAATGGGACAGCAAAACTCAAGAAGGAAAAAGTCGGGACGCAAAGAAAAAAAAATGGAAATTCCCATCTTTGAGTACTAAACATCATTTATTCCCTCCCCCCTCCCTCCCCTCCTCTCCCTCCCCCCTCCCTCCCCTCCTCTCCCCTCTCCCCCCCCCCACCCGCAAAATTCCCTCTTGTGCGTCCATTCTGCATAGTACCATCCATCAGACTACCATTAGGCTCCAAAAATTCTGGAACCTTCCATTTTGCGAGAAACTTCGTAGTTTACTGAAGTCTCAGTACATTGGGTTATGAATTATGTGATGGATAAGCAAAGCATAATAAAATTAGGATAATGAAAACAATAATGCAAGTAGATGGCACAGAAAGTAAGTTTATTCGTTTTTGTGAAAAAAAACTGATTGGCACGCTAAGAAAGAAAACGAACGCAAACCAATATTGATAGCTCTACTAAAAATTATAGCAATCATACGAAAAGTTAAAAAATGGAAAACTCGAAGAATCTTCGTGGGATTAAATTCAAAATAAGGCATTACGAGTGTTAAAAAAATGGAGAGCTTGAGCTTCTAGACCGTTCCAATTTCAATTCTCAATACCTCTTGCAAAAATTTGTGCATTCATCCAAAATTAAGAGTACAGAGCCAGTCTTTTTGGCCAAGTGTAAAAACGTTGCTAAATCCCACTTAAACACTGCGTCAGCATCTTAAGTACAAATTAAGCTTTGAAGCGGATTTACTTAGTTTTTACTCAGTTGACCTGCTCCTCAGCTGCTGTATCATAGCTCAAATACAGGGTGTCCGTAAAGTATGTATCTGTTTGATCGTTAATATCTCTCTTCCCAAGAAGTCTTTTGCCTTGCTTCAGGTACCGTTTTGTAGAGCTGGCTTCAACTTAGATTTGCAGTATAGAACGAATCATCCATCTCTCTTCGTTACTGTAGGATTACGGTAGAAACTCGAAACACATGGTATCAATGTGGAAAAAGCTGTCGTTCCAAAATTTCTCAAAAAAATGTGAAAACGTGTGTAGTAGGGTTTTTATGGACGCTGAGTTCAATACTCAACTATTCACAAGATTGCGAAGCCTTCTAAACGGTGTAACCGCACTTTTTAGGAACATTAAAAAAATGGCCGCTACCTCTTACCTGGCAGAACTCTTCATTGAAGCATCATAACAAGTTGGGAACTTTACAGTTGTAATCAGCAACTCTAATTAGCCTAGTGTAAAAGTTTCCAGGCTGTTTTATTTCATTTCTGACGCAAAATATGGCCTTTCATGGCTCAAAACCCTCGTTGAAGTTTCCACCATAATGCTACAGTAATGAAGAGAGATGGGTGATTCGCTCCATACTGTAAATCTAAGTTGAAGCCAGTTTTACAAAACGGTACCTGAAGCAAGGCAAAAGACTTCTTGGGGAAAGAGATATTAACGATCAAACAGTGCATACATACTTTACGGGCACCCGGTACATTGCAATACGTCAATCTTCCCTCCTTATGCCTTCTGAAAAGCAGAAAAAACTCTCAAAACACTTCCGACTAGCTCTAGATAGCGACGAGCTTTCTCCAACGCTACCGGTTCTGCGCCTAAAGCAGATCGAGAATTTATAGATTATGAGGGGAAAAGCGAAAGTCGTGAGCGTGTGATGCGCCCCTTAAGAAGATTCGTCCTCATGTTTCGAATGAATGTGTAGTAGAAGACGGCTATAGTGCACTTGAAGTCATTGGTCTAGCAAGATTTAGAGCTGAGGATGGCTTGATTATACCATAAAAATGACAAAAAAATGGAAGAGTTAGGAGCTACATATGTTAATCAACATTCATACATCAGATTATGTCTCATTTTGTGCGCAGCAGCCGTTTGAACACATTTACGGTTCCTTGTTTTCCACCTAAATAACTCTTCCTTTTCCAATCTTTCCAATATAGCTGGAAATTTCCTGTTTTGCACCTCTTATCATTGCTGCAAATGAAACAATCCGCTACTGCATGCTGTATGTCAAGCATCGGTTCTTTATAGGTGCCATAAAATAATCAAAGGACATTGAAACCCTTACTTTATGACACCAGTGGCCGTGACTGCACTGGTCAGATATGGTACATAGAGCCGTCACACCACCGATGAAGGGTCATCGGTGGGCCAATAGGACATGGATTGATCAGGCCTAAAATCAATGCCAAGTTGGTATCATTCAGAAGACCAAAAAGGGAACTGGGTGTTTTACAGTTAAAAATTACTAGAACGTAAGATCTATCCTTACATCTCGGCACAGGAAGACAAGGCGGATGGGCACAGTCGGGTTCGATAAGCTGACAGATATCTGCTCCATTGGTGCATCTGTAAATAAAAAATTTGTGCTCTTCAGATACTGGCCGCTACGACATGAATAATAGATTGACAAAACACCGTTGACTGAATAAAAACTTTTAGCTGCGATAAACGAGAGAGTTTGTGGGAAAAACAAACCAAAAATTCGTCTACTTTCCTTATTTTCATGCACTCGAGACTGCATGCCATAAGCTACTTTTCATGGCCTCTTACATCTCTCCAGAATAAAAAATAGGACCCACCGTACGTCTTCGCAGGCATTCCTACACTCACAAGCAGGATCGGGACATCCAAATACTGTCATTTTCAGGCCATGAGCGCATTGTTTTGAGCATTTTACTCCACAAAGTCTCAAATCTAGAATAACTAGCAAACTGGAATAATGTGTAGGAATACTACATATATTTGGAAGAAACTTCTAATAAGTTGCATTTTTGGGGACAAGGCAAACAATAAGCTATTCAGCTTATAGCATTCCGAAATCTTTATGGGAAAACGTCATTCTTTTGTACAGTTATAGTCGCTCATACAGTTGAAATAAGTCTTCCGCTAAGCTACCCCCACTTCTTCCTGGTATTGTCGAACCCCGCGCATAGGTACCATAATGCCCGACTAAGCCCGTCGACGTTTGACAAATAAAGCACATAGCTAGCCATACGAGTCGCGCATAAAAGCTGACAGTGTGCAGCTGGGACTTTGTTTATCTACGGGAGAGCTTAGACTTTTTAATCCTAAACTTGAAATTTCACAAGGGTTTGGACTTTTGAGCGCTCAAGTTTCACACTTTGCTTGACAATGTACTGATGTCTTGACCGTTCCGGGTAGATGTCATGACAGGCGGCTTGACGTGATGGAGTCAGCAGGGTAAACATAGCGGTCAGTTCAGAGGATACCAGGGTAAGGATATGAATCCATAGGATCAATAGCCTATGATCGGCTTTTCTCGATAATCTACAGCAAATCAAGTAGAAGATTTATCTGACCGCTTTACCCTCACTAAAAAGACTACCCTCCTCTTCCTAGCAATTGCAGGAATTTTGGTGCCTTTTTAGAATTTGTGGGCCTTCAGAAAACATGGACACAATGTTTCTGCATACCTTAATAGTAAGTCAAGTCCTAGCTAATTGCTCCCGCGTATGCAACATGTTTGTTAATACAAGTGGATCGGACCTCCCATTGACCTTAGTTGGGCAAATAGTCAAAGAGTACTTGAACCAGATCATATAGAAGGAATAGATAACTTTAGGCTAAGTCATTTCACTTGAATTTGGCGCCGAAAATTCTCATAAAACCTAAGTCAAAAAATTGTTAATTAGAACGAAAAATTGTGTTGCAAGACAATTATTTTCTATGCAAAATAACTCGAAAAATATTCGGTCTAAAATGCAATTTTTACCTCTACACATGCCGGCTCTTTTCATACCAACAGGTACAGATGATCCAGCAATTTCCATTCCGTAGTTTACGTCTACGCACCAACAAATTCGCTCATCGCATTGGATCGGAGAAAACTGAAATTTGCGGTGATATTCAAGGATGCAGATTTGCAGAATTTGATTCGAAAAGTGGAAACGATACTTACTTTTCCACTACTGTCGCATTTTGGCACATAGCCATACTTCAGCTTTTGTTCGGGAAGTTTCTTGACGGTTATTGCGAAGTGTATGCAATCTAAGTGATAAGTGATATGAAATACAAAGAAGAACTCGGCCATGGAAGATAAGAGAATTCAAGGGTCAAAAGAATATTAGAAAGTAAAAAAAGGAAGTCCTGGGATTCGTGATGTTGAGAGGTATGTAAGAAATGGATGTCCTGGAAAGACTCGTTACTCTTCAGCAAAATTTTGCAGAATAGTTTATTTCATTAAAATCAAAATGATTTTGTATTTTAACTTACTCGTAGCTTTCGTTGGATCAACACATACAGAACCGCAGGCATTCTTACAGCATTTCTCCACATCCTTACAGTCTGTGTCATCCGAGCATTTTGTATAGGCTAAAAATGGCCCCTTGAGTTTGTATTACTACATTATGAAAAACTATTCCCACTTGTGCACGCCTTCTCGTCACCGGCAGGAGGACACATTCCAGCTTTCTGTTGTGGAATAGGTGTTTTGACCGCGAAAGATCGATCTGAACTCATTCCGATTTTTTTCTTACATATCAGTTTTTCAAGGAGGGGAGGAAACTGACCTATCATTAATGATACTGGCGCTATGGTAGCATTAACAGGACGTATTGGTTTACTCAATGCAGGGAGAACATTTGCTGTATCAGTAACTAGGCGATGAAAGGACCTCGCTTGAAAATGATTATTTTTCAAGAGTAGAAGAGAATAGAATAACAATGATTTGAGAGCTCCTACAGAAGATAAAAGCAGTTGTTTTACCTTGTATAGGCTGTCCAGGTAATTGAGTTTCTATGGGGAAGCCTGCCAGCGGAAACATACATTTACGGCCACAACCATTTGAACAGCATATTTGATGCCCTAAGATGGTAATTAACTAACTTTACTCAAGATGGTGAAGTTGAATCTTTAGCACCAAAGGCAATGTGTCGTTAGTAGAAGTTTCGAAAATATGAAACAGTGAAAATTTTAGAAATGAAAACAATTGATGAAAAAAAAGCGGCTAGCCATACGGGCTGAATTTTTAGCAAAGGTTCCAGGTTTATTTTTGTGCTCATTACAACAAAAAGAATTTTTCTTACAAAGAGTTTTTACACTTCTTCGATACTTTCTTTCATCTTTTTAGTTATTTTGAAGTATTTTGTGAAGCAGAAGAGAGGGCACTCGATAATTGTGAAAAAGCGTGGAAGCCCTCCGGTTGCTGTTCGCATTACCTTAGGTAACCTTGGCACTTTTTCAGGGTATACATGGTACTGAATGCTATCTTTCTATGAAAGTTCTTACAAACCTGGACAATCGCTATCCGTCTTACATTGCACGTTACATAATCCACCAATGATTCGAGGGCACTCGTGTCGCGGTGCACCTATTAACAGCGATAATTAGACTTTTTCATTGAGTTCATCCGGTCTCTTAGCTGGTCCCATTACTTGGACTGGTACGTAGCGTATATAAGAAGTCATTCGCACATTAGAAGATTTTATGCAGAAGCCTATTGTTCGTTTTTGTAGGAGCTGCAGCAGGGCCCTAGAGGTCACGAAAGTAAGCCCGGGGCAGATTCCTCAATATTTTTTTTCCAGAAAAATACATTTTTTCCATCTGTAACGGACTTAACCGCCTTCAGAGGCTCAAAGTTCTCGCAGCTGCGGAGGTTGAATGGTTGAGTGACCCATTCGCTGGGCAATAAGATGTTCTGACTCTTCCGAATTTCGAAGACGAGTAATTATCCGACGTCCACTAATTTTCCGCCTATATTGATCGTGAAAAGGACCAGTTATAGATGAAGGATGTGAGACAATATTATATCATAGGTAATGATCGGGTAATTCAAAGAAGGAAACGTACCGAAAGAGGAGAAATATCCATAAATTACGCAGGCCTGAGACATTCATATCAGAAGAACAAAGCTCATGAGCATAATCAATGGCATAATTTCTTTTCAAAAAACTGTAATGACGAGATCACAAAAGTAGACGGCAAAGATTTGGTGATTGTAAAAAATTTGATTGATAAATTCTGTTTTTCTAGCTATATCCAATTTTTGCAAGAAGACGTTACGTATCGGGGACTTCAAATGATAATTGCAGATATGTGGAAGAAGGAAGATTCCGGGCAAGAAGAGGACAGCAATATATAGAGGCGTAAAATATGTTAGGTAAATTGGTACTTTTCCGTTATCCGGACCCATTTTTTCAAAATGCTCTCATATTATAAGTTTTTTAGTCTAAGAATAATTTTTCATAGTTTTTACGATGTATGCCTCTTTGCCATGAGTCACGAAAAAATTGACTCGTTTGGGTCCAAATTTGACATGTTTATTCGAAATCATTTTCGGTAACGTAAAAGAGAATATGTGATTATTCTAAAACTGTTTAAGTGTTTTACATAAACACAAAACAATCATGAACATATTTTTGAACATTTCGCTTGCCTTCAGCAGTGATATGAATGTATTTCTTTCCTACCTTTTTCGCCATGCGAATTTAGCCGAAAAATCTACAAATGATAGTCTGAATTACCTGGCTGCTACTCATTTCGCCTTTCAAATGACAGAATCCTAGAGCACTTCTCTATCCTGACAAGGGAATGGTCAGAAATCGAAGTGGAAAATCCATATGAGCTGCATACCATTAGTTAAAGCATAAAACGCTGACTCTAAATGTGTCTTCCTTATCTGCAGAGCGCTTCTGTGGACGAAATTATAAGTCGTTAAAGGCCGTTATTTTGCTAAGAAATTATGTGTGTAAAGGGCAAACTCGGCCGTACAGAGCCATACCCGGCTCAGTGCAAGACCAAAACATGCAACTAGGTCACTTCATATAATCAGTACCTAAAGGTGAGCGAAAAGGGCAATAATGCGCCTAATCTCGCAATTTTTGTGTACGATTTTTTCGCACTAAAGCTGATCATAACTTCGCTTACAAAGGCGCTCTGCAGATACGGAAGGCAGATTTGAAATCAGCATTTTATGCTGCATCGAATGGTATGCAGCTTGTATGGATTGGCCACTTCGACTTCTGACCATTCCCTTGTGAGCAAGTCTAACCTATTCATCGATGATGAGATGTCATTATTATTATGATAATGTTCACTTTGAAATGTTTGGTCGAAATGAGGTCAAAATCAACTGAAAAACAGATTGAACTTATACATTGCTAGGTAGGGTAGCATAAACTTTTGGTAAAAACTGTTGAACATGTAGATGACATGCCAAATTTTTTTTATACGTGGCAGAAGTTTGACACTCCCTCTTGTGAAGCTGAGATAAAATATGGCACAAGGATGGAAGCAATCTCTTTCCTTGAAAAAATGGTTCCGGATAGCGGACAGGTACCGGTAAATTTATCAGGGAAAGGCATCGATGAAATTCAGGTGAAAAGAAAGGGACGAGGCAAAGGAGGTCGCTGAAAAGTATTATGGAGGACGAGGATTGATTCAATCAAGCAGTACTATTTCTTGCGCAATAATACCTAATTTTGTTAAGCTATATCTTGAATGGTAAAAGGTAAAAGAAGATATTCTTGACAAGTGAATCAGATCATTGTCGACTGCAGTTTTTCATCTAGTAAAGAATAATCAGCCATTCTCACCTGTATTAGAAATACATCCAGCAACACCTCCGATAACAGTGCAATGTTCGCCAATAGCACAGAGTTTGAACTTAAGAAAATTATAGCCAAATTCTACAGCATCATTTGCTATCCATAGCCTACCTGGCAAGGATCCGCGGCACATTCGCATGCGCATTCCTCGTTATTTTGACGTCGATATCCATTTATACACAATAAATTACAATTTGATGGCCGAATAGCACAAGAATCCTTAATAAGAGGAGGGAAAACTGCAACACTAATGACCTCAGCGTAGCAATATAGTAGCAGAATCATGGCGATTAGCACAGTTTCGAGTTAAACATTAATAGAAATCGATCTTGGTGTTAGGCAGTAGAGGAATACGGCTTGTTTCACTTCATTTTCGATCTGGTTTCGACAATCGACGAGCTGGGAAGGAGAGAGACCGGTAGCGGGGTGTGACTACCGTGCGTGGTAGGCGTGGTCAATGTTTGATGTGTTCACGATTGAGTTGTTGGCTCGGAACAACAAACAGTAGATGTTTTGACTTTTGTGACGTATTAAGTAATGAAAAAAAGAACATCCGAAATCAAACGATTTTATATGTCTTGCAACAAAAAATTGTGAAAAAAAATTGCTTGAAAATGTCCATAAACCATATCATCTTATGGTCCAAAAGTTCGCATTTTAAATCCATCAACTCCTTTGCAACGACAAACTCAAACAATACTAGAGGCACTAGGTTTTTGTCAGACAATATTTCTTTAGTGATTTTACGAGTACGTTGGTCTATGAAGTTAAATCATCGTATTTAGCTTGCTTAGCCTTAGCTTACTTCCGAATTTTTATTCCAAACTTTTAATGCAGCTTTGACCACCAACAGAGATAGCAAAGCTTTTGCACATGTCTAAGTTGGCTGTAAATATTTTCGTTCCGAAATGCAGATTTTCAATAAAATTTAGGTTAGGCGAGACATTTCGAAGCTACTGTAAATTCGAACTTAAAATCTTTTAGCAAAGAAAGAAATCTTTCATTAGCTTCAAATCCAGAGACTCAGTCCCTCAACTTTCTAACTTTTTTTCCATGTTGTCATGGATGCACAAACGAGTTACTTGACTTAGAAACTGGATGCACACAAGTTCTCGCGAATAAGAATAAAATTTGTAATTGCTAAGTCAAACTTCAATAGTGGGAATTGTAGGAACAAAAAATCTTCTCTTTTTGCGCGTCACAAAAAACTAATGTTTTACAATCTTTACACCTTTTCTTCAAAAAAAAATCTCGAGCAAAGTACACATTCTAATTATTGAATCACTCTTTCTAGAATTACCAAGATTTTGAATAAAATTCGTATGCAACGTATCTGCGAGTAGCTAGAACAACAGAAATCATTCATTAGCCAAGCTAATAGTGCTTTTTCATCACATGCTTCTTACGCATAAAAATCTTGCATTTGCTGCATTTATTGAGAATACTAGAGGTTTTATTGTGAACTCCAAATGGAATAAAAATTTCGAGATGAACTTTTGACAGAGACGTGGGAGCGGCACAAATCAACGATTGAAAAGAATGGTTCAACATTGGCCTTTTAGCATTTTCAAGAACCAAATTTGGAAATACAGCTTGAGTGGTTTCGACAACTTGTATCGTCGGGACATGCCAACGTTCATGCTTTCATTGAGCAGCGCCAAAAAGCTATTGTTTTACTTTTTGTAAAATATCAGAAACAGAATAGTTCTCTGAAAATGGAGGAGTTCGAATATATTCAACACAAGTGGAACTATGGGTTATCTAGATGGATCTAATACAGATGTGTCCTCTCAAATTGTGGTGAATTTCTGAAAACACATGATGTTATTGTTCTCCTAAAATTTAGTCAAAAATCTTTGAATATGCTGCTAACAGCAATTTTGTAAATGTGTGAGCCAATATTTCGCAATAACCGTCAAAATCAGCAAGGGTATCTCAAAAGATAGTTATAAGCACTTTGTGTCTTACTTTCTAAGTTGCACAAGTACTTGCTTACCATTGGTTTGCGAGTTTTGAACCAAACCATGGAAAAATTATCCAGTCGAACATACGCTTCGAAAGAATTAATGAAAGAATTTAGAAGTAAACCATTTAAAAGGGAAACAACTCTTAAAACTTTGTTTTTCTTGCTGTTTGTTTTTCTGCTTTGACACTTGGAGAAAACTGTTGGTTGGAAGTAATCGAAGACGACATCAAAGGATTCCAGGCGTTTATTTACTCGACATTACGTTGAACAGGAGTGCTGACAAGGAAAGAGGCCTCAACCATAAATTACAGTTTACCCTCCTGGAAGGAAGAGCACACCAAGTGAGTTAGGTAAGCAGTGGACGTGATTGTGATGGAAACATCTTACGAGGTTATAAGTTGATATCTACGAGCTGACAAGCTGCAATAAACAGGAACTTAAAATAGACTTGCAGATTACTCTATATTAGTCTTGTTCATGCCTTCACTTTCATAGTGTAGTTTTTGCAATCTATCTCACACTTTATAGCGATTCCCGTATTTGTGAAAAGATAAAAATCAGGCACCTGAAAGATTCCAATTCACTCTCAATTGCCTTCGAAGTGTATTTTGCTTGTTTTGGACGATATTTATTATTTATTGCGTAGGAATTTCCTATGCATATTACATTCAACAGAACACAAAATCTAAACAACACAAATCAACACAACAAACTAGAAAGGCCTAACAATCATATAAGGAACTATGGCGAAAGAAGATAGTTCTCAAGAATCATTTTAAACTGAGACAATTTTAAAGGAAGCATACCCTTTCTCATCATTTTATCTAGATCGCCGCTGACTCTGTTTGTAAAGAATCTTCTTCTCACATTCCTCCCTGCTCTTGGTATTACCATTTTTTGAGGTCCGCCTCTAGTAATAGAACTTCTAGTCTCAAAGAAATTGGCGGGATTAAGTCGGCAATCTCCGAATAATATTTTGTGAGCCATAATAAGATCAAGCTTTCTTCTTCTATTGCACAGGCTGACCAACATTTCGATCCTTTCCGTTGGGTAAAAGTTCGTATTTGAGGCCTTTGGTTCTAATCAATAATTTCCTTGTAAAGCAGTTTTGCACTCTTTCTAGTACTTGTACAGTTCTCTGCTTCGCTGGATTGAAGAACGTTCCATACTCCAATAGAGGTCTTATAAACCTTAATAAACCTTATATGCCCTCATGAGAATGTCAACATTAGTTGTGGAAAGGGCTCTAAACAAATTATATACTGCCGAAATTCCTTTAGTTGCAAGGTTTTCGCAATGTTTATCGAAATCCAGCCGATTGTTCACTAAAAACCCCAAATCTCTTGTCTCATCAACATAATCAATAACTTCACCCTTTGTGCGGTAATTGTAATCCATAACCGGAGGTCCTAGGTGAAGAACTTTAGTTTTCTCTTGTGAAATGGGCAATTTCCAGATATCAGACCATTCTACTATTCGGTTCAAAGCATCTTGCATCTTCTCCTTATCTACCATTCCTGCTACTGGATTGTATATCTTGAAATCGTCTGCAAATCCACAGCACGTCACTCCTACCTCGAAAACTAAGTGAGAAATCTTATATGTGTAGATATTAAAGAGAATTGGAGACAACACTCCGCCTTGTGGGACTCCACTGGGCATTGCCCTCAAGCTAGAAAAAGCTTCACCAATGTGAACACTGAACGTACGATTATCTAGAAAGGAAGCAATCCACGAAATAGAGGGATGAATTCCAACCAGCTTTAGCTTCAATATAAGTCTCGAATGCGACACCTTGTCAAAAGCCTTCGTAAAATCCAGAAGACAACATCAATCACCTTATTATGCTCCAACCAACAAGTCCAGTCATTTAGTGAGTACAACATGGAAGTTACATTGATTTGCCCTTCTGAAACCCGTGCTGTGCTTGCGAAATTATGCTTTGGTTTTCCAGATGTTTTAGTATTGCCTTTTTGATAATTTTCTCAAATAATCTAGCAAATATTGATGTGATACTCACTGGCCGATAATTTGAGACACTACCGCGCTGTTTCTTTTTGGGAATAGGTGTCACAAACGAGACTTTCCATCTATGTGGAACTTCTGATCGCATCAAGCTAAGATTGAATATGAACTGCAACGGTCTCGAAATGACGTGTGCGACCTCTTTGATGAAATGCAATGGTAAGAAATCAGGAGTCAGAGATTTGGAATCTGGCCATTTGCTGAGTAGCTCATAGATCTCAACGTCATTGAAATAAGTGTAGTCCCTCATAGCCTGGAACCTAGGCTGAGTGGTATCAGAAAGTATGTCTTCACAACTATCCCTCTCAAAAGCACTTTCAAACATGTCAGCAAAGCCCTCAACTTTATCTAAGTCGGAAATCAAAACCTCACCCGTTTTCGAGCGAATGACTTCTATCGGATTTTTGGCCTTAAGCCTTCGGTTAACGAGTTGATAGAAAGCTGACTTATTTCCTGATTCAATTATCTTCCTTTCTAGATAAGCGTTATATCTTTTTAGTCTTTTTTCCAGCCTCAGACTAATTGCTTTGAACTGTACCAGATCTCTTTCTTACCGGTATTCGTAGCTTTAAACCAAGCTTTCGTCTTCAGATGGGAAAGTCTCTCTATGTTTTGGGCACGGTATACTTGCCCACAGCTACCATTTTCGTGGGCACGAAAAGATCGATGGTATGGTGAAGTATGAATATGAGTAATTCATACATTTCGTTGACTGTATCAGCCGCATTCAAGGAACCACACCAAATCGTTTCTAAGTACTTCACAGCACCAACCATGTCGGCCTTTTTGTAGTCTCTTCTTAAAATATAATTATTTTGGACCTCACCGCTACTATTCATTCGAAAACTAATGAGTGCATGATCGCTTGATCCAACTGGTGGTTCAACTGTAACATTAGTCACCAGACCTTTGTCATTGGTAAAAACCAAAGCAAGGATACTCTTACCCAAAGTGTACGATTTGACTTTCTGTATAAGCTGGTGACTAATGCACATATTCAGAAAATTTCTCGCCGCAACATTGCCCTTTGGTACAGCAAAAGTGTCCCAATCGATAGCGGGCAAGTTAAAGCCCCTAGTACTACGGATGGATATTCACAAGATACAAGATATACGAACTTGCGGTTCGTATCATTCTTTGGACCCTGAGGAACGCACGGCGCGCAAGGTGGGAATAGGCCCGAAGATTTCCCACAGCATAATGTTCTTTGATAGCTTATCAACTGTATCGGACCATGTCTTAGCCGTAACGATCCAATAAGATACCGCCGAGATTCAGGCTCTTGAAAAAACAA